ACACGGTCCCACATGAGTCAGACGCAGCACGCAGACAAAGCAGGCAGACCTCAGCGTCATAAAGAAGCTTTGCTTTGCCAGCAAGAAAGAAAACACTTCTAACATCTCACAGTGCATTTGACAGCGTGTGATGGCGCTGTACAACAACAGATTCAACATTAATCAGTGTTATTATGTAAATTAAGCCATTTTCTTGTGTGTTAGCTTGCTTATATTTGAAAAAGAGACATCAAATCTTTCCAGGATGCCATGAAACTGGTGCTTTTAAGAGAGAAAAGAGAGCAAAAAGGAGCCATAAAGAGTTCTTGTTAAAAAGAAGCAGAGTCAAGGCTTCTTACAGTCGAGCCAGTTAGTCTAAAACTTTCCATCAAAGCCTCGCTGAGCTGCATGGAGTAATTACCTCTCACACAGCAACAGCTCCCAGGCCTTATTAATGATACTGTTTGTGTGTGCGTGCATGTGTGTGTGTAAAGGTGCAAGTAGCGCACATGCACACACACACACACACAGTAGATGAATATGCTTCCATGTCTTGGTCAGGCAGAGTGTGTGTTTCCGTGTGTGTGTGCCTATAAAGTAACAGCACCCCAGAGTGTCCTGTTTTTCAGACATAAACCAGCTTGCTGGAGTGATAAACCGAGAAATGTTGTTATGACGGGTCGCTCCTGGTCTCTGCTGTCCTGATGACGGCAGAGAGAAGCCCACCCAATGTGCTCTTCCAGAGTGCCTGGGTAAAAATAGGCAGATTCAAAAGACTGAGACAAAACCAAACCGGAAAGCACCCAAAGCAAAAAAACCTCCACTGGCGCTGAACAACCCTCCAGCCGGCTCTTACACATGAAGGCATCGTTGTGTTTCATTTAAATTAAGGGTAAAATGATTTCCTGACCCTGCAGACACATTTTTACAATTGCAAAAATTTGACTGATAGTAATCTGCATATTGTAAGAAGTACTCAACACTACAATGTAAAAATACTGCTTTACAAGTAAAAGTTCTGCATTCAAAAGTACTTAAGAATAATCAGCTAAATATACTTAAAGTATCAAAAGTACTTATTCCACAGAAAAAATGGCCCTTGCGAGTGACATATTACTATATATGGCATATTAGATCATTAATACTAAGGCAACAATGTAAGCAGTGTTTTATTGTTGTAACCAAGGGGACCAGACCCCCAGGGGTCACAACACAAATCTGTGGCGTTGTGACATAATGATGAGGAGGAGGAGGATGCTGTGAGCTGAATGCTCACAGTGACAATAACACTCTGCTGTTGTTGTATACTGTAGAGTGTTGTTGCAACAACAACACAAATTGTTTACCATGCTCACCATCCTAGTTTAGCATGTTAGCATGCTAACATTTGCTAATTAGTGCTACACCAAGTACAACTGAGGCTGAAACCCTTCCCTCCCCTTCTCCCTACCTATCTTTCTTTTTACATGAATGTAATTAAATAAATAATTTATACAGTGGACAAATTAAGGGACTACTTATGATATTTCGATCTGGATCAAAGTGCTGGACCAATAACCATAGAGCCATGCAGCTAGCCTACCTAAAACATAGTTCAGCTGTACATATTTGTTATATCTGCTATTTTTGTGAAGTATCTCATTTAAATAACACCGTAGGAGCAGTTTAGAGGGGAACTGCTAACAACTCGTGGACTTCTTAAACATGACGAGGGGCTCCAAGTAGACACTACCTTTCAATGAGTGGTCAAAGCCAAAAAGGTTGGAAACAACTGCTTTAATCTTTAGCAAGATGAGGAAGAAGTAAATGTAATGGAGTAAAAAGCACATATTTCCTTTTAATATGTAGTAGAAGAATAAAGAATAAAACGCAAATGCTGAAAGAAAGTACAAGGTACTGTAAATAAATGAGTAAATGTACTGAGTTACTTTCCACCGCTGCTTGTGTTTAATTGGGGATATTTCAGTTCACAACCAAAAAACTGCTAATCTGTGTACAAAATCTTATGTTAATCCTGTTCCTAACCTCACAAGATATCCTAATAAAAGAGGAAAAGCCAAACTAAATAACTGAAAGGGGTTAAATCACTATTTTTTTAGCCCATGATTGATGTTTTGTTGGATGTTGAAGTTGCTCGGGGGGACTGAATCACATGTCTGCTCAGGTCAAACAACTCATGATGTCTGTTACATATATGGAATTTGTTTCCTGTAACTCCTTACCAGAGACTGTATATACAGGCTAAGCTCCTGACTAGGATTAAACCTGCCTTCTCATACTTTATTCAGCCACGTTGTCGATCTTTGATGTGACCAGCTATGTTGTATTTACATTTTCAGAAAATTATTTATGAATCACACTGCTTTTAAATATCTGCTAAGCCTAAAAGAATTCCCTAAGTCTGGGTTTTGGGTCTGGTCTAACTGCTGTTTCAGGGGCTTTTTCTTGGAAAACACTGTTTCGCCATGTTTTGGTATGAAAATGGGTTAATGTAATTATTTGGAAAAACATCAGCTCTTGGATCAGTATTGGTAACATCCTTCAAAATCAACCACAACTCGCTGTAGTAAAAATGTCTAGAAGCCTGATTAATATTCCCAAATTAATCCGACAATGTTAGAGGCTTTTAAGTTATGTGAACAGGAGCTGAATGAAGTCTTTTGCTGGTATGACGGCCAGAAAAAAACGACAAACTGCAGAAACAGATTGATTAAATAAAGCAGCTGCAACCAGCGTCGTAACTAATGTCATCTAACTTTCCAGCATGAGGCTTCAATGGCCTCTTCCAGCGTTACTCATAACCAAACGGAGAGTTTATAAATCTCTCACTCACTGCAGACTTAAAATATCTAAATAACGTACACCCTGATGTTTCCACATCTCACCACATCATGAGATGGTTGTATTTTTCCAGGGAAGGCTTGAAATGGAGGGCCCGGGCAGCCAGTAAAACTTATTCGGGCATGCAGTCCCTGAGCCGTGCCAGCAGCATATAGCGAGAGACATAAAACCCCAAAAACCTGAAGTAGACAAACTGTGTTAAGTGTTCATAAAATATCTCTGGCTAGGGAACTTTAGATGGAGAGATTAAGGAGGAGAGGGGAGCTCCTTTCAGAATGGAGTGCTGCTCTGCTTCTAATGTTATTCCTGTGGTTTACTGCAGTCTCACAAATATCCCTAAATGATGTGCGCTTAGATAGTTTGTCATTTTAACCCCCCCCCAAACACACACACACCCACACACACACACACACCACACAAGAAAGGTTCAGGAGGTGAGGCCTCATCATACCTGCAGCTGCCAGGGATTCATTCTAAGTTGTATGTTGCTCATGGGACACTTGAGGTGGTTAATCAGGTACAGCTTTACTGTTTCAGGGTCATTCTGAGGTCCAGCTGCCAAAATCCAGATGAGAGAAGCTTGAATGAGACACATTATTCACCAATTATCAGGTCCTTTTTAAGAAAAGTTTTAAGTGGATGCAAAAGTTTTAAGTGAATGCAACAAACTACATGGTATTTCTAATATTTTGTTATGAAAAGCACAATTCATCATGATGTCATTTGCTTGATTGATATAAATGTATGTAAATCAGGTTAAAACCTCAAAGTTAGCATTAGTTTGACTGACCAAGCCATACATAAAATACTGTTTTCTTATTCATTGGGTAGTAGTACTTTAGTAAATATACATCCATCAAAGTCACAGTTAATGTGAGTTCTCAGTGGAATTGGCATTATGTGCCACAATGGCCTCAATAATTCCCACAATGGAATGAAAGTGGAAAGTGTCAATGGAATGTACACCATTTTAGGTTAAAAATCCCACAATGCATTGCTTAACCTTTGCTCTGGTAATGACAGCTGTGCAAATTACAGTTTTGTGGCACTCCAGCTGTCAGTGGTGAAGCAGAATGATGATGATTCATAAGCATCTGAACTCTCAGCCTGCTACTCGCTACGGAGGAGGCCACTGAGTGTTAATCACGGAGGGGATAAAAGAGATATGATTTCTGTTCTAAAAAGAAGGAACGCTGCGTAGTTACATTGTAAGAGAAGCTAGCACGTCATGATCAGATTGAAAAGTGACATATTATTACAATCACACAGTGAGGAACACTTGACATTTTATGAGTGAGTAAGCATACAAGAAATTTTGCACATGGAAGGACTTTCACTTCCTGTGCTGCTTCTCAAATAAAACTGAACAAAAATAGAAACTACGTAGAAAAACACATTATCTGCAAGATGATACTGATAATGGTGATGATGGAACTGAGTTGGAGGACTTTTTGTTCTACAATGACGCCTCGAGGACATATGCCAGCAACAGGGGGAAATACAACGCATTAAAGAGGAAAATAACAGGAAATAATAATAAAATAAAAAGGAAATCAATAAACAAATATACAAACTGAGCATACAAGCACACTTTGCTAAATATTTAATAGTTACTTCAAAGTAGTCGTTATTATTTTAGCAACTTAGCAACATTGATTAACTGATATTTTTAGTAATGAATAGCATTTTGTTTTTTTTAAACTAACATTATTTGGACTAATACTATGATTTAACAAATGTATCTCTCTCCTTGTGAAAGCTAATAAACAATAACTCTTCTCGCATTCATGTCAAAGGCTAAATATCTCTTTGTCGAGATTACATTGAAACTAAATTTAGACACTGTACACAAAAGCAAGCCTAAAAACAGAGAGATAATAAAAGATAAATAAAGATAAAGATGGTAATAATAACATTTTTCTAGCATTATTATGCTACCATGCTGTAAGAGTTTCCTAGAAAACACAAAAACAGATTAGTTAAGTGTTAATTAAACTCTTTATGGGGATATATAACACAGTAATGGTGCTTCATAAATCAGCTCCAGCTCTTGAAACACACTTCTTGTTGTGATTTTGAGCTTTAACGCTGCCATATATTCATTTTGTACAACGCCGCCATCTTGTGGACTCGGAGGTAAACAACGCTGGAGCGGTGACGGTGTGTGTACGTCATCACCACGCGCCCTGTCTCTCTAGTCACTGCAACGTGAGGAAAACATGGGGAGGGAGTTAGTTTGACATTCAAGTGCTGTTTATCTCGTTTCACACGACACTAAATGAGCCATTTGTGAGCCAGAGTGTAACTTATAAGCACACTGGGACTCTGTACGTAGATAAAAGTGAGTCAGCCGGCTAACATGGATACCACGGGGGACAATGCGATTGAGCTCCACGGTGATGAGGAAATTATTGAAGTCATCGACCTAAACGACACTGAGCCTGGTCCTGGTGGGTAGAAACACTGTTTACAACTCCTAAGTCACTTGTTGCAACATTTACCTTTAATCATACCTGTGGCAACCAGTGGCAGGCTACATATCTGTTTTGGAGCTGGGGTTAGATTTAAGGTGAGCAGCAAATGACATTTCACCTTTCGTCGTAAGTGACTGTGTTTCTCGCCCACTGTCAGATGATTTGGCTGATGACTTGGGGGACGTTGACTTTGAAGAAGACCCTGGAATCGCAGACGATGAAGGCTGGGAGACGGAGGACGAGATGGAAGCTGAGGCAGAGCAAGATGACAGCGAGTTCACCTTCTCCAAACACACTGGTAGCACCATACCTTGGGGTTTCTGCTCTTACTATCAGGCAGATTGAGGCAGTTAAACATTCAAATTGCTCCTCCTTTCCTCTGCTCAGGCTCAGTGTTTTGCGTGAGTTTGGATCCTGCCACGAACAGCATGGCAGTAACGGGAGGAGAGGATGATAAGGCCTACGTTTGGAGGGTGAGCGACGGAGAAGTTCTGATGGAGTGCACAGGTGAGGGTGAAATGCAGATTGAGGGCCGTGCTCACATCAAGCATGTCTGAATCCTTTACACCTACAGTCAGTTCATCAGGAAAACAGCCACACTGAAAATAATACTGTGTTTACGTCCAAGCTGGTGAAATCTGAAAATGCAGCATAAATGACGTTTGTCCAGAGATTGCTGTTTTTTTTTTAAATATCCCCGTCTACAATAAAAACCTAAAACAATTTGAAAATGTATAAACCTCCTCATATTTTTCCTGACATGACTGAAAATGTTTTCTTGTTTACACTAAAACAAAATGCCAGTGTCTGTCGTGTTGACCCTGCAAATGCAAGCGATTATCTGTAATTTGAATGTAATCACGTTCTTTAAAAGCCACAACATGGCAAAAATGAACAGTTCTTCTCTTGACTCATATTTACTGAAGTGGTCAGAATAGCAGCGAGGTTTTGTAAAAGTCAGTGATTCTCAACTAAGATCTTTCTTTTTCTTCCAGCTGACTGTGACTTGTGTGTTTATAATTGGGCAGCAAGAACATAAACAATATCCATGAATCAAAATAAAGTGTTTTACATGACACCACAGCTAAAAATGATCTGTGTGACACTTAAAGAATTCACAAAACCTATGTGGGGTCTAAAAAAGCAATTTGTTTGTCTGTGTCTCCACAGGTCACAAAGACTCTGTGACGTGTGCAGTGTTCAGCCATGACTCCTCCATGGTGGCTACGGGTGACATGAGTGGCATGATTAAAGTTTGGAAAGTAGAAAGCAAAGAGGAGATCTGGTCCTTCGAAGTGGGAGATCTGGAGGTAAGATTGTGTGTTTGAGAGTGTAATCCAAAATGACTGCAACAGTTTGAGCGTGTGTCTGTGTGTCTGTTTAGTTTGTGCATCTGTAAGCACTTGTGTGAAGTCTTTTATTGGGGCTGAAGGAATTTATGAGGAAAAAAGAGAGGGTGACCGCTCCGGCTGAGAATTTGTGGCCCTTTGGTGGAAATGAATAATCAGACATTCTCCCCTTCCTTATCCGCGGCTGCTGAGTTGCCCTTTAGCAAGGCCCACAACCCATCATAATTATAAAACCAGCTCATTGGCAACCAGTAGAAAATTGTAGTGGAAATCGGAGGGAAGTAATTTGTGTTTGTAGAGTGGCTGTTAATTGGTGGTTGTCTGCCCTGCTTCCTCAGTGGTTGGAGTGGCATCCGTGCGCTCCGGTGCTGCTGGCGGGGACAGACGACGGCAACATGTGGATGTGGAAGATCCCTTCAGGAGACTGTAAAACCTTCCAGAGCTCTGCATGCCAGGCCACCAGCGGCAAAGTCCTCCCCGATGGTGAGAGATGGGAAAACAAGACACGAAGTCCTTAAAAGTCTTGGCATTTCAATTGAGCTCATTTTACTGAAGTGAAACGTGTATTCATTTATTTATTTTTCTGCAGGTAAGCGGGCTGTGGTGGGTTATGAGGATGGAACAGTACGCGTGTGGGATTTGAAGCAGGGAAACGCCATCCACATCGTTAAAGGTGAGCCTTTCAGCTCTCAAATGTAGCTTCATCCTGTAGTTACCTTTTTATATTTGAATCTTTTAGTAGATTTTATATTATCTACTAGGCGACTTAAAATGAGTGGAACTTGATAGAGAGATTTCACAGTCCACATCAGATTTTCTGCTCTGCATTTGCTCATTAAGAATTATTACATTGATGGTTTGTCTCGTTCAACAGGACAGGACGGACACCAGGGGGCGCTGACCTGCCTGTCGTGCAACAAGGACGGCTCTCTGGTGCTGACGGGTTCAGTGGACGGCTGTGCCAAGCTCATCAACACGGCCACGGGCAAGGTGGCTGTCATGACAACAGAATAAAAGATAGAGAAGAAAGTTTGTTGTTCTTTATCAGCTTCCAATGTGTGTGTTTTTAATTTCGTGCGTGTGTATAAAGGTGGTCGGATCATTCCCTGCGGACGGCGGCAAAGCCAAAGGATCTGAAGACGGAGAAGAATCCAACTCTGTCGAATCTGTGGGATTCTGCAACATGTGAGTTATAAACGTTTGTCACCACCAGCTACATAAAGTAATTAACCATCAACTGTAGACTGGAGATGGAGTAGACATTAAACTGCAGCCAGCTGAATCCAGATGTCACGATTTCATAATTAAGAATCCATTAAGACAAAATGAATAAAAAACATTTGCTGTTTAATGGTTACAGCTTCTCAAATGTTTTGCTAATTCCTGCCTGTAAACTGAATGCCTGACAAACTGTGCAATTTGTAGCCATGACTTTGAGCTTCACATTTTCAAATCAGGTTAATTAAAACAGTAATCTAGATCACTGCTCTTGTCTGATTTCAATCAGGAACGTATTCCACTTCAGTCTTGAAGGCCAGGTGTGTGATATCAAAACCTTATTTTGAATTGAGCATCTGTAATGCCTTTTCATCACAGTTTGAAGGATTAAAAAGGGCCATTAAATCGCAATAAAAGGGCTGAGTACTTGTTATAAATCACATTGAGAGGAGCTTTGGTTTGCAATCCCCCTATTAAAGAAAATTAACTTCAGTTAACATAAACTTATACTACAAATATGAACGGTTACACATTCAGGAAACACTACACTGTAATAAAAAAGATGCTTGTGCTCAACAGTACAGTTTCACAGCTCTGCTGCAGTTTCCTAAATGTCTCTCTTGTCCTTTCCAGCCTGCCTCTCATAGCTGTGGCGTACCTGGACGGGACTCTGGCCATTTACGACCTCTCCTCACAGGTCCTGAGGCACAGGTGCCAACATGAGGTAAGAAGCAGCAGAAAGAGGGGGGAGTTTGTGTGTGTTTAGTTTAGTTTCCTACGCATACCAAGAAGGATTCTCACTTGTCCTAACTCTGTGTACTGCACGGACGCTTTGCAGTCATATCACAGATCTCCTAGCAACCACTTGTGGGGCCATCGGGGAGGTCCAGTTGAGTGGATGTTGCCTGTGTGCAGATTAAATACACAAAGACAATTAAGGAATACATTTTTGCAGTTTGCACAGTTGCACATTAAACCTGCAATAACAAATTGTGAACAGAACATTGACATATCATCACCATTTATGTGTTAGCAAACAGTTGCTTCTAGCACAACCAGCAGTCACAGGGCAACATCATCACTGATTTGGATTTGTGTTTTTTGGTCGCTTGATGAATTTAAGTCCAGTAGTCACTCTCTTTAGCTCTGTTTTTGGACTCTACCAACTCCTGAGGGAAATACCAGTCTCTTTAGCTGCTAAATGCTCCACAGTTTTCACCAGCTAGTCTCTGTCTTTCTGCTGTTGGGACTGAGTAGAGAGTGTGCAGTGGGTTTTTAGAGCTTTTTTTTTTTGCTGAAAATGACACTGAGAGATGTGACAGTGAATCAAAACAGTAAAACTGCAGCCAGACAGCTAGACAATGAGCTCCCCATAAAGCCTTGAGGAGCTGTAGATTGAGGTGATAATTCTTTGTAGGATCGTCACTACCAGAGACCCCTTTCACATTGTCACATTTTTTATGAGATACAATGATATTATAAAATATGAATTCGAGCCACTTTAGGACAGTTTGGCAAGCATTTCCCTCAGTCCTTTTTGTCTAACAAAGGAAAGTGTCAAAGTGACAAATCAAGCACAGACACTTTATCTTATCCTAGCTACCTTATCTGCTGGTTTGTTAGCAAAGCAACCAATATATAATGTGACTTCTAGCCACTAATACCAGTCTCTACTCAATATGTGTTAGCTACATTGCAAATAGGATGTGTTTAAAAACAGGATAGTGGCTGATATTGTGAACATTAGTTTCCTAACCAGCGGTAAAATAGGTTTAGAGTAAGAAATGTCAACTGTTCACACTGCTGACACCTAAAAACCTCTGTCTGTGTTCGTCCAGGCTGGCATCGTTCACCTTCAGTGGGAAGAGTCTTCTTCTGTGGTGTCCACTTGCTGCTTAGACGGAGCGCTGCGCCTATGGGACGCTCGTTCTGGAAACATGGTGTCCGAGTACCGCGGCCACACTGCAGAGATCCTCGACTTCACCATCAACAGGTACCAGTTTGCTACAAAGCTCTATCTTTCCTGGTAGAGAACGTTCTTGGATGTAAATATACTGTCACAGTCTATGTCCATTATTGTGTTCATTCTGACTGTCTTTGTCTATCTCGCCTTCAGGGAAGCGTCTCTCGTAGTAACCGCTTCAGGAGACAACCAGGCGAAAGTCTTCTGCCTCCAAAGACCTGATCGGTAAGGAGAGCAGGAAGAGGAAGAGAGAGATGAAAAGAAGAGGAGAGGAAATATATTTCAGGAGAAATAGACTTTTTGTGATCAGACTTTTTGATCTCTGGTACTGGAGAACATGTTTCCCTTCTCCTTAGGATTTTAAAATGTCTTCTGGTCTCACCATCTTCTACGTCCTGAGTTTCACATCTGATTCTTTAAAACAAGCTGTTCTTCATTACTTTCTTCCAAGTGTGCTCTTGCTCAAGGACCTTAGAGACTAAACAAAGAAAAATTCAAAGAGTGATACATTACAGTCCTTTGCCTTTGACATCCCTTTTAATGTTCTGTCCAAAATGTTTTAGCGATAAAACAGAAAAGAGTTTCCTTTGGTTACGATTATAATTTTTTCCTTAACTGGAGTTTTTTGTTGCCTAAATAAGTGCTAGTTTAGCTCTTGAGGGTGTGTGCATGTGGTCTTCCAGCTCTCAGACAGATTGTTCAGTCAGAAATGATCTCGCCCGTTTTTCTTGAGGTAGACTCAAATGTAAATACCAAATAATAAATAATATACTTTGTTCTGGGTAACTTTGAAAAATCATTTTCAGCTGAGGACTGTGTCATTTGTGAAAAATGTCCGCCCCCCCACCACTTAAAACACATAAACCTTATTTGAGAAAATAGTTTGTACTGGCGTCTGTTTTTTGTATGTGTGGTTACCAGTTTAGAGATAAAGCAGTGCAGTGGTCCTTTTGTGGGTCACTGTGACGTGAAAAGCTGAGGAAAATATGCAATCTACTGTAAAATTCTTCTGAATTTAAGTGGGCTCTTTCATTGTTTATACTATCATTTGATTCATTTTTAACTCGTATACGTTTTATTTATTTCATCAGACATGAGTAAATGGAGGAGGTGAGTCAGTATGGAAAAGACGGGACACTAAAGAAAGTGGATCTTCCCAAAAGCTTGTGATTGAAGGTAGAAGATTGTAATTGTGAAAGTGGTGAGTACAGTAATAGTAGTTGGCCTTGTTTTAGAAAAGTCAAAATTTTCTAAACTCTGCCTTTAATACCAGATTTAGTTATTTTAAAATCATTTAATAGATCAGTTCATCTATTCTGCCCAAGGTACCAGCAGATTTAAAATAATTACTCCTGTTGAATTCCACCATAAAGTGGCAAAATGCAGTAAAATATAATAACATTTTAGATCTCTTTTTTAAACTTAATTTTCCAACAGTATTATACATGATAATATAATGAGGTATTTTTTTGACTTGATAACCTGAAGTTATTGTATTTTGTGTTTGAAGAATTGCAAATTCAAATTGTTCCAGAGCAATTTATTTGTGTTTAAATGTGTGGGTGTGTTATGTGACCTATGGGTGCCTAACTCTTCTACTGTCCACTCAGAATAAAGACAAAATTCCCCAGAAATAAACACATAATAATAGATAAAAAACAAGCAGTGGTATAAATGTATTTGTGAACAACTATGAATCCTCCTGTGGACGCCCATAAGTAGAGGCTGCTGTATGAACAAATCATGAATGACAATATAGTAAAACACAGTTATAATAATATATCTTCACAGGAGAAGTTACATTAATAAACAATTGTTGCAAATTTATTAAAGTGTGTTATAAACTGTTTGTGTACTGCCTATAAAGATATATATGAGTTTTCCAATCAGGTCTAATGTTTTCTGGAAAGGGAAGGGAAAACACAGAATCCTCCTAATTATTCTCAGAAAAATGGTCCGACCTGTGTATATGAACTAAAACATGCACCCAGCTGATCTCCGCTGACTGTTGTGTGTAACGCTCTCCAGCAATTACGCTTTGTATAAAAGAAGTGGATGTTGTTAACTGTGCAAAATAGAGCAATCATGACACTTTACTGCCCTTCCTACAACCAGGAAATACATTAACTCACCAGCCACTTTGTTGCTATGTGGATGCTTTAATACAGGCCAAGCTGCTGCCGGTCACATTAGTGTATTTGCTAACATATATATCTGTACGTGTTAAAGAATGAGAGCACCTTAAATGAAAAGGTCACGACATTGTTGCACTTTATGGGTTGCTCCTGGTACGCAAAATTTGGAAAAAAACACCTCAGCTGCATTATGACATTCAGGGGTGAGCAG